CGAACAAGTTTACACCTTTTAAAGCACTTTACAGACATTAACTAATTCATGCTATGAAGTCTTATAAAATTGTCAAGTATTAATGCTGGTTTTTATTGCAAAAGACCTATTAGGAAGAACATGATAATACACTTTCCTGATATATGAAAATAAGAATAAAAATAGAGAAGATATGGTTGTTATAAAAATAAAAAAGAACATATGGTTGTTTCTTTTACAATAGCTTTTAAATGTAAAATGATATCAAGTGTGCAGAAAAACACAGCCTGTTTTTCAGCAAAAGTGACTCTTCCTTGAAAGGGAATAAGTTCTTCAACAAGAAAACGTATTTCAAGAAACTAAACCATTGATTTTGAAATTCAGCTTCAAAATTACATATGGTGTTACACCAGGAGTCATTTAAGGGCAAATTTCTATAGTCATCACTTCATTGCAGCTCTGTTATTATGCTCTCCCTATTAGCACACACCACCTAATTTAATGTGGTCTTGAGTTAAGAACTCTGCCTTTAATCTACATAATCTCAACCATCTTAACTTTTATTCTATTTAATTTTATTTTGGTGTGCTTCTGGATAACTAGATGTTTCTTTGAAATAACTGATTTGCTCAAAGTCTCTCTTCTCTTCTTTCTCTTCATGCATGCAGCAGTAAGGTAGACCTGGAGTTTTCAAGGATGGATGATTTAGTGGTTGAGTTGATGGTTTTCAAGGAGTGGATGACAGTAGATTTCAGGCATAGGAATCCTTGTCTCTTTAGGGGAAATGAAGGGGTGGTACTCACTTTTGTAAGATTTGCAAGAGGGAGCCTTGCTGTGATGCACCTTAGAAGCGACTCACATGAAAGAAGTACAAAGTTCTAGTCAAGAGCCAGATCTTTAAACAGAGTCTGTAATTTGCGCCTCCATTTTGTATATGTCATTGTTGGTGCATAAGCTTTTGCACAATCCCAGAATGCTAGTTGTGCTCTCAGACCTGGTAGTTCAAAATATAAATACTAGTTTGATTGCGGATTTGCTGTGTGAGTGCATAAATGTGAATTTTAGGGCTTACAGAACTTGTGAATGTAACCCATTATTTCATTGCATCTTGCATCCCCGTCTCGTGGCTGGTCCACATGAAAGAAACAGAGCCTACTACTGCTACCAGATAATATAATATTCACCAAATGATAGGTCCTGATGAACCAGTGGATTGCAGGAAGATTCTAGATGGGTCGCCATATTTCAGGATTTATTTAAATGTGTGCTGGGAGGTGACAGCAATTCTCAATATAACAGACTGGTTTTCCTTAAACAGCACAGTGATTTGCTTCCTGGTTCTAAATTTACATATTTCCATTTTAATTGGGTTTTTAAGAATACGTAAGCATACCAAAGTGTTCAAGGTCAGCTGTTATTCAATCGTCAGAGTAGAACTCAACACTTTTTGCATATAGGGTGTCAGTTTCCAACTTTCACTTCAGAGTAATTGCATAACGTTGGCATCAGAAATTAAATTATGAGCATTAATAATATGGCTGGTTATCTGCGGCTATCTCCTAAGAAACTTTTCAAAGCTGTTGAAAAATTAAAGTAACTCTCATATAATAACATTAACAACTGTCTCATATCAGCATAACACTTGTGACGTTGTAGAATACGCCTGATATTTACGTTAGAAACAGCAACGTAGTTATAGACAAGCATCAATGTATACATGCTTCAAGTAAAGAATCCAGTGGAACAAACAGTGAACAAAGAGTGAAAGTGCCAAAATCTGTGATCAAGAAGTATGATGAGAATTCTTGAAAATTTGATTTTGGATTTGTAGGTCCCAGAGAAAATCAAAAACCACAGTGCCTGGCTTGTTCTGAGGCATTAACAAATGAATCCATGTAGCCATCGAAATTGCAGCAGCATCTGAACACCAGATATCCTTATTTAATTGATAAACTGGTAAATTGCATTTTACGAATAAACAGCAAGAAAAAAATGCAACAACAAATTTGCTTATGTAAAGATGCAACAGTGTCAGAAGCACCATTGCGGGCATCCTATCTCAGATCATCGAGGATAATGAAAAATAAAACACCTCGCATGATTGGAGAACAACTTCTGCTTCCAGCAGCTATTGACCTGTGAAGTCATGATTGGTACTGAAGCTGCCTGAAAACTGGAAACTATCCCACTGCCTGACAACACTGTACACAGAAGAATTTAAGATATAGCTTCTGATATCAAAACACAGGTCTTTGAGAAATTAAAGCTAGGGATACATGCACACTACAATTGGATGAGTCAACTAACATGGCTCAAAAAGCCAAGAAGTAGCATTTGTATGGTTTGTATGAGAGGGGGACTTTAATGGGGAAAAAATGCTTTTATTCAGAAAAATTCCAAGTCATGCAATGGGGGAGGAAATTTTTTAACTACTAAATGAATTTATAATCACCAACAATATAAATAGGAAAAACTGTGTGGGCATTTGTACAGACGGAGCTGCCACTATGAAACACTAAAGAAATTGTACTGAATGCTAACGCAATGTACTGCATTATCCACCGCGAAGCACTGGCAACAAAACAAATGGGTGCAGAATAGCATGAAGTTCTTAATAGTGCTATTACAATAGTAAACTTTGTCAAAGCAAACACTTGAATTCATGTTTACTTGCTATTTGTGTTCTATGATGGGCACAACTGATGATGCTGACCTGCTTCATTCACAAATGTGTTGGTTGTCTCACGGAAAAGTTTTGGAATGTGTTATAAAACTTAGAAACAAACGGCTGTAGTTTCTGTCAGGAATTAACTCTGGTTTGGCAGATTGCTTCAGAAATGGTGCTTGGATGGCCAGATCTTGCAGATATCTTTAATGCAGTGTATGCCCTTAATTTATGTTTGCTGGGTAGTAATATCAATATTCTATTTTTGCAAGACAAATTGAAAGTTTTCCAGAGGAAACTTCACGTTTGTTAAATTCTAATTGAGAATGAAGTAACCGACATTTCTACTTCTTTCAGAAAACCTCAATAGTACTGACAACATGTTTGACAGCATCAAATAAAACACACTTATTAGTACTTCACCAAAAATATTCATGTTACTTCCCCAAATTGGAATCTGACTGGATTGGGGGCCCAATTTACAGTAAATTCAGAAAATCTGCATTCTCTGGAGAGCAAAGAAAAGAATGAGTTCATTTAATTCTCATGCGTTAGTTTTCTGAAGATGAGATTTCCTTCCCAGTCATTGGAAACTTTGTTTGGGGATTAAATGTGAGTACCCTGCATTGTCAGAAAAAGCTTTTACCATTTTGCACCACCTACCTGTGTGAAAAACAGCTTTTCCATGCTGACAGCAATTAAGACCAAACAATGCAACAAGTTTCTTGTTGAAAATTATTTCAGACTTTTAAAATAGGGTAGAAAATATAACCTGAAAAATATAATGTGAAAAAAATACATATTTTATGGAGGTCATAATCTGTTTTTCTTATCAACCCAGATGGTGGATTCAAATGCTGGTGTGATTCTGGTAGCTATTACTTCCCAGAAGAGCTGAATTTTGAACCTGGCACTATTTATGTAGGTTTTCATAGTGTTTACTCTAGGAATTTTTTTTTTTAATATACAGTCTCAAACATCAGTTTTATATCCATGCCAAATGTATTATGGACTCTCTGGGCCTACATTCAAGGTACCCCACTTAAACCTCTAAATGGCATGCAGGAAATTATGGGCCTGAACAGAAACCTTCCTCCCCAACAGTGGGGAATTGCCAGTGCAGAGGGGATTGAATCCGGGACCTTAAGTGCTAAAAACACAAAACTAAATCACTTGAGCTAAAGGAGCATCTGTTATCTCAGCAGTTCCCAAACTTTTTATTCAGGTGACGCCAGGGCCGGCTCCAGGGTTTGGGCCGCCCCAAGCAGCCAAAAATAAAGCCGCGATCACGATCTGTGGCAACAATTCGGCGGGAGGTCCTTTGCTCCGAGCGGGAGTGAGGGACCATCCGCCGAATTGCCGCCGAATACCTGGACATGCCGCCCCTCTCCGGAGCGGCCGCCCCAAGCACCTGCTTGCCAGGCTGGTGCCTGGAGCCGGCCCTGGGTGACGCACCAACTGTATTTGGACCCACGAACTGTAACTGCAACAGCAATATTGATTTTGTATTAACTTCACAAAAACATTACTGTCTCCAACATACAACAGTGAAATAATAGGTGCAGTGAATGGATGAGCTCTATGCTTCAAAATAAAATTCTTAGAAAAGGGAGATCCAGATTTGAGAAGGCATCTTTTATCAGACTAAGTTAAGCTGATACAAGAGTGGCAGAAGTATTATTGCTGAATAGTTAATTGAACCAATGGAGCCCTTTTTCTGTGAATTGTCTGCAAACACAATTTGATTTATTAGTAATCATTCAACAAACACTTTATGCTAGTATATTTAAGCATATATAATATTTGTGAGCTATTTACTGTGACTGTCTCTGACAAGTCACAATTTGTTGTTCACAGTGTGTGATTGGTCACTTAAGCTACATTTTGTTGCCATTTGTTCTCCATAAATGGATGATTGAAATTTCATGAACAGAGATCAGTGGGAATATTGAATTCCTATATTTGTGTACAACGTATCTTTGTTTACATGCGGATAGGGGTGTTCACATCAAGCACTTCCCAACATTAATGCATATTCAAACCTCTTCGCTCAAGTGTTCATGGAAAAACAAACAAAAAGAGGCCACATTGAACAGCAATTCAGAATTCAAATTAATGTCTCCACTGTATTTTTTTATAGCATGCTCGTTTTTTCTTAGCATGCACAGTATGAGCAATTTTGGCAGCCAGTTGCTGAGCTGCTGGAGAGTGTACGATGTGTGGACTAACACACAAGTGTATGCACAGAACTCAGTATGTTCACAGTCAAGATTAAAGAGTTCAGTTTCTTCTCAGTCTGAGCTCGTAGGGTCTAGGTTACACCTAATTCAGTAATTCGTCCAATTTTGTTTTCCAGAATGACAAATCCCCAGGACGCTCTACAAGTCGATCAAGTAACATTTCAAAGGTAAGTGGAATATGTTAACTTATTTACTTTTATATAGAATTCCAAGTCATAGCAATTTATTAAGTGTAATGCAGTACTTTATTCCACTACTCAGATACCATATTTTGACATTTTCTTTGTATTCACCAGTTTGTAATTTTAGGCTGCTGCGCTTTCATTTCAATGTAAAACATGTTAAAATACATAACAATCTTTTTTCCCCACTCAGCATAATACCTTTGGGAAATATGCTGTCATCTTTGGTCTAAGGCAGAATTATTTCTTACTCAGTTCTGGAATGATGGCACCATAGTTTGCAATATGTTGCAGTTATGATTGTATCAGCATTTGCTATCGGAGTCCCATCTACAGGGATTTACAACTAGTACATTTACACCAAAAATAGGCCAGTGGTAGAATCTCAGATCCCTTTCAGTTTCTTCAGGACAGTAAGAGAGTGTCTGTTTCAGACTTGGATCCATGGATTTAACCAACTCTTATGGTTTTGGTTCAAATGTGGCTGAAATGTCAAGTCCAAAATGGCAGAAAACAGAGTTAAAAACTGAAATCTCACGAGAGCAGTTCCAAAGGTTTTGGCACTATAGAAGCCAAATCCAAATACTAGCCATAATCTAATTTCAAACTCCATCCTATACCTGATCCAGATCTGAACACTGTCTTCAGGCCTTCTCTAACAAAAATGTCTGGTGCGCTGGACCCTGCAATAAAAGGTTTTATCCCCATAGCAACATTTGATTTGAAAATGCTCACTCTAGTAATTTTTAAGTTACATGACAGCAGTTCAAAGTTTAAAAAGGTGTTCTGCTCTTGTATAACAAAACTATGGCTTTGATAAAACCACTGTAGTGTATAGTATGATCTAGTCTCTTGTTTCTTTCAGGATTTTTTGTAATGACTCTATGATGTCAAATTCCTCTTTTAGTGAGTTTAATGATAGATTTATAGGAAATTCAAAATTCAGCCTCAAACTCTACATCTTAACTTAGTCTGTCATGCCTTTATCTCATACCATTGGCTAAAAGAAAGGACCGGTGTTGAATTGTAGAAAGGGTTCTGAGAGGCTTAATCAATGCTTGTAAAATGCTTTGAGATCCTCAGATGAAAGGGGCTATAGAAATGCAAAGTATTAATAATAATTAAGAAGAAGAATGAGCTCAGGTACCTCTCATGATAGGAGACTGAACTAAATAACAGATACCCTTAGTTCTGGCAGTGAAATTACAATTATGTATGTTTGGTCCTAACTCTGAATTCCTCACGTTTTAATTTTTGACAAATTCTTAAAATTATCAAGTATCCGAAGAAGTGGGTATTCACCCACGAAAGCTCATGCTCCAATACGTCTGTTAGTCTATAAGGTGCCACAGGACTCTTTGCTGCTCTTAATATTATGTAAATGTAGTGTTATGTGTGTGAATATTAATAGTGTCATTATAGATGGGCCCAAACTGATACCCCAGATGCAAAGACTCTTGAACTTTTGGGAAAGTTTTGATTCAAACTTCACTCTACTATATGCTGAACTAAACTCAAAACCCTAATACTCCCAGACTTTGGGAGGACCCAGTGCCTCCTTAATTTTGAATCTGGTTACTTATAATAACTAAATCTATAACGATTTACAATACATAGTTGTCTGTTTTTCTAACAGTGTCAAAGTACATGAATTACTTGTAAATTATGACAAAGCCACAGCATCAGCGGTTCATAAATAATCAGTAAGGGACTGTAGAAATATATTCAGTGTGTGTTAAGGCAGAACATATCCGCTACTAACATTTCTCTTAAAGTGACCTCTGTGGAGACCAGTTTTTCTGGATGATACTCTTTAAATATGATGTGTACAGCTTACAAATTAGCTATTGCAATGCAAAATTATCCAGACTTGCCCTTTCTTAGGCTGTCTCCTGCTCATCTGTAGTATGATGTCATTCCATTTGACCAGCTACATTATATATTCCACTAATAGGGAATATGCTGGAGTATACTTGACAGGGGATCCAATGTTTCCAATTAATTTTCTGCTCTGGAAAACATTTTTTAAAAAGAAAATACATGGCTTTAGATTAATATATTGTGGTACAAAACCTGATCTAATTGAAATGATTCCCAAAACGGCATAGTTGTACAGCATATTTTTTCCCAGAGCAACATTAAAAAACCAAGACTATTCTCATTAGAGGTGATCCTGCACCCATCAAAGTCCATTGCAAAGTTCCCATTGACTTCATTGGTGCAGGACCAGACTTTAAGTCTTTATCTAGTGATATGAAATACAATATCAAAGTATGTTGCTTTTATTCTACAGGTTTCTGTCTGTAGTATTTCTGTAGAAATGGGGGGGAGGAGAGAGGAGGAGATAGCTATATCCTATGGATCTGACCCAATGCCCAATGGAAAGATTCTCGCTGACATCAGTAGATTTTCGATCAGACCCTATTTGAGATTCAGTATATCAAAGATTTAGCAAATACAGATTCATATTTCATTTTCTGTGGACTGATCAAATAACTTCTTCAAACCTGCATCTATCTAGAAGTTGCCATGAATTGTTTTTTACATTGAAAGTATCTGCTGAAAAATAAAGTAAAATAAATAAATGATTAAATCGTGATTGTGCTGGGAATGCTTAGTTGAGCCTCTGACTCCCCATAATAGGGGTAGTGTATTCAGTTGAATTAAAGGCAACATCTTGGTGATACACTAGTTTCATTGTATTGATTATGCATTTGGCAAAATATGTACATGTTCTGCTCATTTTGGATTATATGCTCTAAAAATAGCTGTGGAGACACATTGCAGCTTGGGCTGGCGCTCAGGCTCTAAAGCACAGTTTGGATGGTGGGGTTTGGGCTTTAGTGCCTGAGCTCCAGCCCAAACCATAATGTCTAAGCACCATCTTACACAGCTGTTTTTAGAGTGCTAGCATGAGCCTGCTAGCCTGTAGACCCAGGCTGGGAGGCCTGCCCGCAGATGCAGTATAGACATACACCTCAGGCCTGTAGCTATGTAGAACATGTGTAATTAGCTTAGTTAATCATGTACTTAAAAGTAACAATTCCATATTTTTTTTAATTCACCAAATTCTAATTTAAAAGAATATGGGAGAGAAGCAGAGAGAGTTACGGGACTTTGAAATATAAATAAATATTTCCCGTTATAATATTTTCTCCTTATAATCCAAAGTGAGCTGAGTATATACATATTTTGCTTATTTTATATATGAATCCCCAATAAGAATTTGCTCACTGAAGTATTTTAACCAAGCTATAGGAAAAAGTTTTATTCATTAGAAGTTGATTTTTGTACTTGTGGTAATTCATGGTTTATACATAAATTAAAACAACAAAGGTGTCAATTTATGGGTGGTTGATAAAATCGTTATTGGGAACAGAGTCAATAAATGTAATGTGCACTTGTCTCTAAAGGTCACCTTAGAAAATGATGTAGATTTATTGCTGGTGAAAGGTGCCAATTTACACACCTAGTGAATGAAGTAATTTGATTAACTAGAGGGCAGCAGCAGGGCAAACTTCACACAAATGCTTGCCCAACAACATGCTCAGTGCTGTAGTATGTGGGACTTTTGCTATGGGCCAGAAATGGTAGTGGACCCTGAGGGTTGTGGGTGCAAGAGGGGACTGAGGTAGTCTCACCCACTTTTTCCACTGTCCATTAGAGCCTGCCACCTTTTAAGACTCTACAGCCTTCCACTCAGTCCTCCATTCCAGCTCCACCTTGCTCCTGTGGCCTTCCCCTCCATACTAGCAGCTGCTGTTATGTGCTAATCTGGCATTCACAGAAGGAGAGTTAATGAGGATGCCTGAAATGCAGGCACCACAGTAGTCTGTGGCAGCCAAAAAAGGAGTTACTACAGCTCCTACATCAGCCCAGCCAGATGTGTGAGGTTCCAGCTGGCTGAGGGAATACATAAAGTGTCCTGCACAATGAGTGACATTTAGCAGTCCTGAAACGGTTCAATTTAATAAGTGTTACATAGGAAGTAAAGAGATTTATTTTGTTTAATAAAAGGATACCAAATAGCAAAATGCTGTTCAGTTTCCTCCTTTGCTCATATTAGTAAGTTTTCCATGTCAAGAATATCCCATAATGGGAAATGGGGAACAAAAGCCCACTGTGGGCATGAAATGAAGGGCCAGATACTCAGCCAGTGTAAATTGGGATAGCTCCACTGAGTTGAATAAAGCTACACTGATGTATACTGTAGATATGGCCCGAACTGTTCAACTTTCTGATTCTTTTATAACTTCAGTGAGAGGTCTGGTGAAAGTTACAAGCTCTGTTCTACTTATTATGAACATTCATTTTGAAACAAGAAAGAGTCTCTAGTCTTTCAGTGTAGAGCATAACCCTCAAAATTTAAACCAGTCACTACAGGGGCACGTCCAGCTGTCCTTACTCAAGCGAAACTCCATTAATAATAGAATGTGCGATCTTTAACCTTGTGGCTCTCTGTTTAAATCTAGCTCATGTTGCTGACAACTTTTGGTTTTTCCCATCTATTCACTGTTCTCCATATTATATGAAGGTCCAATTCCAAGCACAAAACTACTTACCACAATAGGCACCTTTGTGGCAGGCTTACTAGAGTCCAAGGAGGGTTTTTTTTTTCCTATTGTCTCCCCAAAGTAAACCACAGCCACTGAGATGTAAACAAGGAAACTGTTGAGGAGGGGACAGAAAGATGTAGAAGACCTTTTTGTGTTCAGTTGAGGAATGATGATGATGTGCGATGCTAGACTTCAGGAGAGAAACAGTGGTGGAACTCTATCTGTGATCATTGAGAAGAGAAGCTGGTCTTTTATCCATTTAGGATCCAAGTCCCAGCATTTTATTTTGGCACTTCCCAGCCCAGGCTAATAAGTTCTATCATTAGATCGAGAGATAGGTATGTAATCTTTTTATTACAATATTTTAAATCAAACCTATGGAAATATCTCATTGTGTTTCAAAGATGAAAATTGTATTTTGGGTGAGGG